CTCTAACAAAACTAAACAAAAAAGGGGATACAAAGGAAGGACCATTTTGTAGTATCTGTATACACAAAATTGGATAGATACACAGCTACTTTCTCTTAATTCAATGAGAAGAAAGATTTGTACTAATAGTATTTGGACAGGATATCATCTCTGCACCTTGTACTATGAATAACCACTAAGATAATAATATGCACTCTAGTAATTATTGAAACTGTCCTATTAATTGGTTTGGAACTGTCTCATTGATATCTGTTTCCCAATAAAATTAATTTTTAAAAAAACACAGTGCCCATCAACAGGAAAACTGAAAACTAAGTCATGGTGTATTCATATAACACAATATAATACATAGCAATATAAATAAATGAACTATAGCTATATTCAACAATACAGGTGAATTCTACAAACATTTAAAAGATACACCCTAAGATACTATTTTTATATAGCTTAAAAGAAAACAACTTATGAGACTGAAAGTCCAAATAAGTTGAGTATGTGGATGCACACCTACTATCCCAGCATTTGGGAGACTGAGGCAGGACAATAACTGTGAATCTGATACCCAACCTGGGCTACAAAGTGAGTTCAAGTCTAGCCCAAATTACATAGTGAGACCCTGTCTCAAAAACATCAAGATAGTAGTTACTTTTAGGTAGGTTGTAGAAGGTAGTTAATGGAAGTTAACAACAAGGGGAATTCAGAGTGAGAACAGTGTTCTTGTTAACTTAGGTAGTGTTTACTTTGTGGTAACTCACAGAGCTGTACAGTTCTGATTTGTGCACACTTCTGTACAATAGACTTCAATAATAAAGCTTTTAAAATGTAAACTGGAATTAATATTCCATATATTATGGAAATTAATGTGAAAATTACTATTTTTATCACTACAGTATAGTCAGGCACTATAGATTTATATTATTCAATCAGCACAACTTTTTATTTTAATAATTTTATTGAGAAAGAAATAGCAATGAGATAGTTTCAAAACAGGTTAGTTCAATTTGATTTGAAACTGTCTCATTGCTATTTGTCTCTCAATAAAATTATGGAAGAAAAACAGGTTAGTTTTTCTAACCTGTACAGTTACAATAATTAATACACTGCATATTGTTGTCTTTGTAGTAGCTATTCCTAGTACAAGATGCAGACATGATATCTTGTCTAAACACCATTAGTTCAAAACCTTCTCATTTAACTAAGAGAAAGTAGCTATATATTTATGCTATTTTGTATATACAGATATGTATTTTTCCCATTACAAAATGGTCCTTCATTTATACCCCTTTTTTACTTTTTTCAGACTACTCTTCTGAATTCATGTACCTATAATATATGAATGACAATAGAATATACATCTCTGACAACTTTTTAAAGTAGGAACTAATCTCCCCTTTTCCTAATTTTTTTTTAATGAAGTTCAAACACTTCATGTATTTGGTACAAGGTCTCACTACACAACTCTAACTTGTAGCAATCCTCCTGTTTTCAGCCTCCCCAGCACTAGGATTACAGGCATGCATCACCATGTCACTCCTCGGTGGCTGACTCAGCGTGCCGGGACTGGGGCTGGTGCAGCATGTGGTACCAGGGATTGCATCCCTGTCCTTGCACTTGCCTAAGCAGGTGCCTAGTCTGCTGAGCTATCTCACCAGCCTGAAGTCACATACTTTCAACAGTTTATGTCATAAAGCTAGTAAATGATGAAATAAGTTGGAAGCCAAGTCTGATTTCAGAAGTGAGGCCAATTTCAAAATTAAGGACAAACTCTTTTACCAAGTCCTTCTTTGTCAGCAAATCTCTTTTTTATCTTCCAGCCCACTTCTGCATTAATTTCTAAAACCCTACCCTGCCCCCACTACTTACTTAACTCTACCTACTTCAGCAATCACATACTGTTTACAGGTACTTGAACAAGTCAGGCTCTTCTTAGCTTCACGTCTTCACACATGCTGCTTTCTTATCTTAAAATGCATTCTTACCTTCCCAACACACTTCGCTTTACCTCTTATTAGTTGTTAAATATCCCAGATAATATTCATTACTTCCTTTTGTGAAAAATCTCTGTTTTCCACCCTATTTCTATATACATAGCACCCTGCTATTACTGTTATATCATTTATCACACCACAGTATGACATGTATGTATCTTCTCCTACCTGAAGTTTTAAGTGCCTTGAGAGAAGAAGCTATTTATCATTTCTACCCCACATTACATCTTTTGCACCCAACACAATGTCTGGCACACCGTAAGTTGTCCATAGTAGTTAAATAAGTAATTCTAATACCAGCACTTAAACAAAATGTTTAATGTATATGAAACTGTTAGAGATTTGCTAATATAGTTTTACAAAAAAATTGTTAAAATACTCACTATTTCATAAAATACACAAGGCAGAGTATTTTTCCCATCTCGCATAAGAAAAGTCTTTGAATAATACGGTCCAGGTGTGACAGCTGAATCAAGGATAGCTAAGAAACATTGAAATGGGGAGAATAAATGTTAAAATAAATTTCACATAAAATTTAACAGAATTGATATTTAAATAATTTTCCCATATTAACCTTTCAGTTTTTCTTATAATAAAAAGATCATTTTAAAAAGAAATGGCATTTCTGAAACAATTTTATACTAGGAAAATTTTCCTACACTCCTCAACTCAGTAAGAGATCGTATGTCAAGTTCATATAATTTTTTGTATTTTTAGGGAAGGATCTACAGGGTGTTCAGGTTCTCACTACTAGATCAGACTCATAGTGATCCTACTGTTTACAGCCTCCCTAGAGCTGGGATTACAGGCGTGTGCCACCATGCCCAGTCTCAATCGCCATCTCAGCACACCCTGGGGGGGTGGCCAGAATGGTAGCCCCAGGGATTGAACCCTCACCCCCTGTACCTGCTTGCTGGTGCTTTAACCCGCTGAGCTATTTGGCAAGCCCAAGTTCATATAATTAACAGTGTTTGGCCATCTGAAATATTTTCCTTAGACTCCAAAGACCAGTCTATTATCTTATAACAATGAAATACACTGTCATATAAAAATCAGTTAAATGAAACAAATGAATTAGAATAAGAAGTCATACACTCTAGCCCAGTTCCTTAACTTACTCATATTTTAAAGCTAAGCAAATGTGTTACTTCATTTTTACTACAAAAATAAAGCAAGATATACACACACATATAAAAATGTAAAATCACTCTAGTTGAGCAAATTAACATATTCATCACTTTCCAGTTATCTTTTCATGTGCGATAAGGCCAAGTGGCAAATGTCCAGTATACAACACATCAATATTAATTAACTATAGTCCTGCTGTATTAGATCTCTAAAATTACTCATCCTACATAACTGCAAGTTTATACCATTTCAGCTACATTCTACCATTTCCTTTGCCTTGAACAAAGTTGTTTAACCTTGTTCAAAGTATTTCATTTGTAAAATGCAAATTGTAATTCATGTTTATCTCTACAAATTTTTTATCAAGATTATCATTTTTTATCAAATAACACTAGACATTTTTATCTAACAGCATTCTTTTAACAGTCACTTACTGAGTACTGGCAGTATTTATTTTTAATTCATCCTATTTTTCTCCTTATAATACCCAGATTTTCCTTTAGGAAATCTATCCTATTCTAGTCTTAGCTACAAGATTTGAATGAAATTTTTCCCACTACCACCCCCACACAGTTCCAGATACGACCTGGGACTGAATTAAGACAATGAGCATACACCATTCCCAAGTGATGGACATGCTACCAGTCAGAAGTGATAATATGCAAAAAGCTATTTGTGGGAAACAGAAACCAGAAATTTACATAAGAACATGATAGTGTGGTGACATTTTAGAAATTTTCTAGATTCTGCCTGCATTCTCTGAGTAATGGCCTCTTCTTCCATCTCAAAACCAACAAGGTAGCATCTTCCAATCCTTCCCTGACTCTGACCTTTTTACTCTTTTATAAGGACTTTTATGATTACAGTATATGCACTGAGATAATCCAAGATCATCTTTCCATTTTAGGTCCTTAATTTAATATCATCAACCAATTCTCTCTCGTCATATAACATACACAGGTTTTGAGAATTAGGATAAGACATCTTGAGGCCATTATTCTGTCTATGCTGAACACTATTGTTTGTTCTTGTTCTTTTTTTGGAGACAGGGTCTCACTAAGCAGTTCAGGCTGGCTTTTGAACTCACTATGTAGCTCAGGCTGGCCTCAGATTCCTGGTATTCCTCCTTCCACAGCCTCCCAAATGCTGGAATTACAGGCATGTGCCACCAAGCCCAGATCATAAGATTAAAAAGAACTGTAATTTTTAAAATATTTCAGTAAATAGCAAAATTGTCTGTATGGTAGCAGAACTAATTACAGCATATAAGACAATAATATAAATAAAATTACAGAATCACATATATAAAATTACACCACCATAGACAGGAATGGTACAGTGGTTATCTCTAAAAAAGCAAAAAATGAGAATATTAAAATAAACTATGATATAGATATATGGATATGTATATTCTCTATATTTTTGTGTGTGAATTTCACAATTTAAGTGTTATTTATGTCAAACAATGGAAAGAGATGGTTTTAATCTTTTTTTAAGATTTCCAGAAGGTTTAATTGCTGATGCCAAAAACCAAGTGAGAAATACAAGTAAATGCAATCGCGGAACCATATTTCTAAAAGAGATACATTAGCAAAACATTTTCAAGAAACCAGTCATGCTGAAATACTTTTTTAAAAAATAACACCATTTGAAAGATAATGACTTGATACTTTAGTGCTGAATAAAAACTAGGTTTTCTCATCTAAATTCACAATTTGGACTATTGGAAGGAGAGGAAAAGGAGGGGAAAAAGGAAGAACAAAAATAACATAAGGAAGAAAAAGGAACGAGGAAGAGGAAAAGGAAAAAGAAGAAAAAAGATGATTTAAAATGTGTTATTTAAGGACAAACAAAATTAATAGCCTGAGGTTTTTATGATAAAAGTTCTTGTCGTAAATTAGCCGTTTCCATTTATGTGGCTTGGGAATTAAGATATAAGATTAAGACCACCAAACACTAAAATCGCCATTCTGAAAGTGTGACCCTTGCTTTAAATACTATTTGGGGGCTGGGAATATAGCTCAGTGGCACAACACCTGCCTGACATGCATAAGGTCCTGAGTTCAATTCCCAGTATAAATAAATACGTACTACTTGGTAGAACTCTACTGACCTGGAGGAAGCATAAACCTGGCATTTCACTACAATAGCACTTGTTGACAAGGGAGATGAAGCTCCTGGTTAGGCACTAAAGAATTAAAAGGCAAGAGCAAGGATACTTAACCTCAGAACATGAATCACTTTATTCTGACCATAGAACTATTTTCTTTTTTTTTTTTTCACAGAACTATTTTCATACCAACTGAACAGGAAAAACTTTCTCCCTGAAAAGTAGTACAATTAACATCAGAGAAAAATAATAGAATTCATGAATAGCACATATTTTTTAAAATAATTTTATTTGGAAACAAATAGCAATGAGACAGTTTCAAAACCGATTACTAGAACAGTTCCAATAATTAATACATTGCATATTGTTGTCTTAGTGGTTATTCATTGTACGAGATGCAGACATGATATACTGTCTACAAACACTATTAGAACAAATCTCTCTAGTCACTGAATTAAGAAAATGCAGCTGTATATCTATCCTACTTTGAATATACAGATACAAAATGGTCGTTCATTTGTATCCCCCTTTTTTGTTTAGTTTTGTCAGAGAAGGGTATTCCATTGTCATTTAAATATTGTAGGTACATGAATTCAGCAAAATATTCCAATGTAGTCCAGTAGTTTATAATAATAGGTTTTCCATAAGACTGGCATTGTCAGACTTGCCATGCCAGTTGGCAAGTTGTTGACTTGCGCTTTTTATAGCTCAACATATTAATATGGCTTTACTTTTTCTACTTTTTTTTTTTTTTTGCTCTAAATGCCTTCAGGGCAGGTTTGACTAGCTTGAGTTATAGGGATCGAACCACAGCAACCTGAGCCTGACTGCTTTGTTGAAGCAACCACTTAAAGAAATGATCTAAGGGGCAGGCCCCCTTCTACTTCATTTTTATACTTTTCTTTTGGATTGTTAAGACCAAGATAAGGCAAAACCTATATAACATGAAATGTAGCTTCTGTATCTGATAAGATCAGCCAAATCCCCTCAGGTTGAGTCATGGCCATTGCTTGACCAGTTTGATAGCAAAAATTGATAATGATTCAATGATGATGCTATTGAAAGCATTCTAAATAGAATTCCTAGACAAGAAAAATGAGTTCTATCAGTTACTACACCTTTACCCCACCTATCAGTTCTAAGTATGTTGCCAAAAAAAGCAATAGATTGACTCAGAATCTAGAACGCCAATTCTTTAGATATAAAATTTTACAAAAGTCTGTATCATCAGGGCCAGGCAAATAGCTCAGTGGATTAAATCCCTTGCAAGCAGAAGCAGGAGCTGGGAGTTCGATGCTTTGATCCCCAGGCCTACCATGCTGGCCCTGCCCCCGGTGTGTGCAGAGACAGCAATTGAGACTGAGCATGGTAGCACACCTGTAATCCCAACTCTTGGGAGGCTGTAAACAGGTGGATCACTACAAGTCCAATCTAGTAGTGAGACCCTGAACCCCTTGTAGACCCTTCCCTAAAATACAAAAAAAAAGTCTGGATCATCAGATTTTGAGTTATGTCATCATGGGCACATGAATAAATGTTTATTAGCACCTGTATACAAAGCACAGAAAGGATTGTAAGACTTCATGAATCTGACCAATTAGGGTGGGTTCATGACAGTAAAAATGTATGGTCACAGCAGGACAGCATAGAGTGCAAGCTGATGGAAATCAGTAAGTCTGGAGATTCATTTAGCTCCAGAATGTGGGAAGAAAATACTCAGGTCCTACCACTTTGAAAAACTCCCATAACCTCCTATGAACTCAGTTCTGCTCCAATTACCTTCTAAAATGCAGACAATAATTCCCTTTACCTCATCGAGAGTGCATTTTTTTCCAGAATTCACTTTCTAACAACTGATGATGTATATGAGTAAAAAAAAAAAAAAACCCACTCATAAATTTTGCTGCCAGCAAGGCTCCAGGTGGCTTCAGTTCAATGACAAATGAGCACCAACTTTGCTACGCGTAATGGGGCCACTGTGACAGAATTTTGTTCCCTACATGGCTCCTCTGATGTTGGGTGAGATATGCAGTTTGGGTGAAGCCTTTCCCACATGCATTACACTGATAGGGTTTCTCCCCAGTGTGGATTTTTTGAATGTTCAGTAAGTCCTATTTTCTGAGTAAAACTTCTGTCACACTCATTACATTTGTAAGACACAGGAGTTTCAGCAGTTTACCACTGGCTTTCTATCTTGCCTGGCCTCCCCAGAACCTCTGAGCCAAAGTTCCTGCTCATTTCTATTACCACAGAACCTCTGGTGTCTCAAGAGATGTGAATTCTACCTAAAAGCTTTACCACACATGGCGCATTGGTATGGCTTCTCCCCAGTATTAAATCTGTGATGTTCAAGGAAACTGAAGCTCTGGCTGAAGGTTTTCCCACAGTCCTTGCACTCGTAAGGCTTCTCTCTCATGTATGTTCTCTGGTGTTTAATAAGTTCTGAACTGTGACTAAAGGCCTTACCACACTCTTCACACTCACCTGTGTGGACTCTTTGGTGGATGACGAGGGCAGAGCTTCCAATGAAGGCCTTTTCACATTCCTCCTACTCATAGGGTTTCTCTCCAGTGTAGATGCTTCTGTGTTTACTCACAGCTGAACTTTCAGCAAAGCTTTTTCTACATTCGTGGCAAATGTACCACCTGTTCCCCATAGCATTTTTCTGCTTTGTAACCTGCCCTCCTGTTCACCAGCTTTGGCACAAGCAGGAACTTGGACAGTGTCCTCACCCAGGTGGCATAGAGTCTGGCCAGGTTCTTGTCCTCAACATTCCTCAGCTGGAGATAAGCCCCTGATCTTAACCTGCATTTCACCACACAGAACCCTGGAAGAAACCTGTCAGCTGCCACTGCATCTTCTCTGCAACTGTTTCCCTGGGCAACTGTGTCCTGCAAGGGCCAGGATCCTCACAATGCATGCTTGGGCAGAGGCTTTATTGCCTGGACATGGCCACTCTGTGACCTCTGGGCCACTGTCACCAGTCCCATCTTACAACCCAGAAGTGCTTGGCCCTGGTCACCTGAGACCAGGTATCCAGGGCTACACGTTCACTTAGTTCTCCAGCCATCATTTACCACCAGACTGAGGCCTAAGTGGTGTTTCTCTCAGCCTTCAACATGCTGTAGGCAGCAGACCATGAACAAGACCACCAAGATTGCACTTGTTCTTTCTTTCCTAATTTCCTTTTGTCTGTTTTATGTTTTTGCAGTATCCCATCATAGTCCGGTTAGGGACTCAAACACTAGTAAAGCTTGGCTTCCTAGGCTTATAATCTGGCTTGACTACCTATTAGCTGGGACAACTCAGGAAATCACACGTTTCTATCCTCACTGTCTTCATCTCTCTGCTTGTCCTGAGTCTCAAGCCAAAACAAAGGTATCTCCAGGTTTTAGCCCCTCTGGAAGCTTGAGCATCTCAACATAACCAGTTTGAGACTCTGCTTTGGGTCAGGCTCTTCTTCAGAATATTTTATCTTTTCCCCTCCCTGAGTCCAGAGGAGCAAGTGCTCAGTGGCTCCCACTGCCAAGGTTGCCAGTGCAACCAAGCGCCCCAGTGATCCCAACCGGGGAACCAGGGCTGTCAGGCAGGAACTCTCATGCTTCTGCAAGAACAAGGGCAATGTCCACCTTGGGTTCAGGCACATGCATACATACAGCCCTACATCCCCAGCCCCAAAGCCCCCGAGATGTTTTTAATCTCAAAATCTTGTTCATCTTTTTGTTTCAAGTACAATCAGATTCCAGAAACATTCTGTAAAACTCTCCCTTCTTAAAATACTAATTTAGGAAACATTAATTACAGGGCTCTTCCTCATTAGTACTCTGAATAAATGTTCTTTGGATCTACTAACGTATGATTTAATTTACAAAATTAGTAATATATAAAGAATGCTAGAATAAGAATGAGGGGACTTAGACTCTATATCCATTTCCACTGCTAATTATGATTTTAATTCAGTCAGTTTTAATTATTTGGTCCATTTCTTCTGTAACTGAAGGGTTTAAGTTAGACCACCTATAAGAGTTCATTCGGTTTTAACATTAGGGAATCAGAGGAATATTACTATAAATAAGCTAATACTTATTTCACATAAATCAGTAACAGACCCACAAACTAAATGAAGTTCTAATAATCTATGGGCTTTTCTAATGTGATCTTTTGCAAATTTTTTTTCTTCAAGATATCCTATGTATTCCTATGGACATTAAAACTTTGTCCAAACAGGGGGCCAGGGAGATGGCTCAGTAGAATAAGCGCTTGCCTGGCAAGCACAAGGGCCTGAGTTCAATCCCCGGTTCGGCAAAAAAAAAAAAGTTTCTGAGTATGAGACACAAATGTGAGAAAGGCACTACAATTAGTAAAAGGGCTGAGAATGATAAATAGAAGCTCCTGGACTACTAAAACCTTGTCCAAATGATATTTCTGAAATAGTGCACCTACCCAATATTTCAAAAAGAAGTACAGTCTTCTGTGCATGTTCACGCCAGTATCTCATGCTTTCAATAACTGCAGAAATAATTCTTAAAGAATTATTTTTTTCCTTAAATTGTAACTGACACAAGGGAATTTCCTTTGAAAGAATAAAAACATAGTATCAGAAAAAGCTTTCATGTTTTTCATCAAACTTTCACCTCTGTGAACAAATTCTAGGCCCTTATATTATTAAATAAATGTGTAGAATGTGGAAAAACCATAAAATTTTCATTGCAATTAAAGCCATAACTATATAATGTAGGAAAAATCGGTATGCATTTGGATATAATTAAGGAGAGAATTATTTATATGTGAATTCATCCATTCATTCACTTGTTCATTAAACAAATATCATGTGCCAATACTCTAATAAAGAGGTAAGTAAAACCATCTGTTTCCAAATATGCTCACACTCTACACATTCATTTATTCATTTATTTATTCACTTTGAAATTTTTTTTTGGCAGCAAATCTGTGCCAAATAAAAGGAGATGACAGTAAACAAATCAGATATCTGCCCTCACATATTTTATAATCAAAAAGAGGATTCATAAAATAAATACATAATCAAACATTGGGAATTAATATATTTTATGTATTTAAAACAGGGTAGAAGACTTCTATTGTAGAACAACTCACAATAGCCAGAACATAAAACCAGCCTAGATCTCCATCAACAGAAAATGCATTATATGTACATAATAAGAGTATTATTCATTAAAAAAGACAAAATTTTGTCATTTGCAGAAAAAAAAAAAAAAAGATGGATCTGGAGACCATGTTGAACAAAATAAGCCAGACTCAGAAAAGACAAATATCCCATG